ACTCCTCAGCCTACAGAGATTAAAGCTGAGTGCCTTTGGGCAGGAGGTTAGTTTGTAGAGTAAGGCACCCTTTCTGCCTCTTTCAGCATGAGAAGAGCTTTGTAGCACTTGCCTGAGGGAAGTAGAGAGCGAGGAGCTGCATGCTTGAGACGAGGACCAGAGAGAGACCTGCCTCCTGGCATGGCTGAGAAGAGGTGCTGTAATGGGAAGAGGACTGAATCTGTAATGCTTTTTAATCCTCTTGTAACCTGTTAGCGTCCTAACATATCCCATAATAGTGAGTATTATTTGTGGGTTTTCTGTGCGCATTGCAATGGATTATTGAATCTAGTAGAAAAATAGAATGCTGTGGAAGAGATGGTTGGTTTCAGAACAAGGTAAAGGAGGTTAATGAGTGGAGGCTTGTCTGACCTTGGACAGATGTAGAGTTGGATTCTCCTCCTGCCTTGTATAGCCAGGGGAATTCAGATGAGGTCCGCCCACCATCTCCTCCCCTTCCATCTTTTTTGGATGCCTCCTGCATCATGAACTATCTTGCCAAGAAAATCCTTCAATATTGAAACTCGAGGCTTGAATATTTTCTTCAGTTCTTACAGCTTGGAAAATGCTGTGTGTTCTTCTCTTCTGGTTTTCCAACTCCCGTTCTTTCTAAATTTTCTTCAGTATCAACTTGAATTTCCATATGAGCAATGGAAAGCTGTTCTGAAATCATCTCCTAGACTTGTCTGATTAATCATATTGAGTTTTCGGAGGTCTCTTCCCACAGATGTAGTCAATTTGATTCCTATATATTCCACCCAGCAAAGTTCGTGTGTCTAGTCATGGTTTGTGTTTTTGCAGAAAGGTATTCGCAATGAAGAAGCCCTGGGTCTGGAAACATTCTATTATGTGACCTCCAGCATTGCTTCTATCACAGAGGCTTTATTTTTCAATGACTGATTCTTCCTCTTTGTTTCCAACATTCACATTCCAATCACCGGTAATTATCGATGCATCTTGATGGAATGTCCGATCTCAGACTGCGGAAGTTGGTTTAAGAGTCTTCCATTACTTCATCTTTGGCTTTAGTGGTTAGCTTGTCGATTTGATTACCTGTCATGATAACTCAGCATCTTTGCAGGCAAATGGATATGATCACATACAGCATTGTCCGTGAAGCTAGAGATTGAAATGTTATTTTTGAGGATGAAGGTGATGCTACTCCCCTTTCACCTGCCATTCCCAGCACAGTAGACTATAGGATTGTCTGATTCAAAAGGGCCTATACCAGCCCACTTCAGCTCATTAATGCCGAAAATCTTTTATCTGTCTTTTTATTTTTGATGGTTTCCAATGTTCCTAGATTTATACTTTGCACATTTCACATTCAAATCATTATGGATTTTGTGACTGTTTGTTCTGTTTTGAGCTGTACCACACGGCCCAGGGAAAGTCCTGAGAGCTGTCCCTGTCATTAGAGTTGACTTTCCTTTGCGGAGGCTGCTCTTCTCTCGTGTACTGTCAGTGCCTTCCAACCGGAAGGCTCCTTTCCCGGTGCTGTGTTAGATGGTATCCTCCTGACCAACTTTTCCAGAAGTGGACACTCCTTTCTCCCTTGTAGCCTGTCTTACTCTGGAGGATGAATGGTGGCTCAAATGTCTACCTTTACTCAACACAACACATAGAGAGCTGTCTGTTTAATTTGGGTCATTTCCAATTCTTTTTGACATTTTCTTTTCAGAAGACTTAAAGCATGGACAGATAAAAATCAAAGACAACAGCCTTTGGTATAGAGTACATCTCACTATCAACGCAACAAAAATATCAATACAACAAAAATCCTCACAACTGGACCGATAAACAGCATCACGCTAAATGGAGAAAAGATTGATATCGTCAAGATTTCACTTTATTGGAATCCACAATTGGTGCAGCAAAGAACTAAAAGTATTGCACTAGGCAATACTACACACACACACACACACACACACACACACACACTTCTAAAAATGTTTAAAAGCAAAGATGTCCTAAAGTGCCCTTGACCCAAACTATGGTTTGTTTAGTAGCGTCATGTGCATGGGGAAGCTGGACCCAGAGTAAGGAAGCCAGAAGAGGAGGTGGTACCTTTGCATCGGGTTGGCGAGTGTTCAATATCCCATGGGCCGCTGCAAGAATGAACACGGCTGTGCTGGAAGAAGTACAGCCCAAATGCCCCATAGACGCCAAGGTGGTGAGACTTCATCCTGTGGACTTTGGACATGTTACCAGGAGAGAGTAGTCCCTGGGTAGCAACAGTTGCTTGGTAAAATTGAGGGCCAGCTAAAAAGAGGAAGCCCCTTCAGGAGATGGGTTCTCCCAGTTGGCCTCCAGCATGGGAGCATCAGGGAGGAAGCCTTTCACTCTGTGGGGCAGAGGGTCGCTGTGAGCTGAAATGGACTTCAGGGCACCTGTGGGTGGTGCTAGGTGCCGTGGAGTCCATGACGACCCACAGCAACCGTACACACAGCCGAACAAAACACTGCCCGGTCCTGCGCCAGTTGCCCCTATTCTCTGACCATGGGGGACAATCATATTACCGATGACCAGACTGGATCTTTGCCTGCGTTCTGACTCCCCGTGGTCTCCTGTGTGCGGGGTTCAAGGCTGTCATCTTTCGGCAGCAGCTTGCCAGGTGGTGGTGGGGTGGTCTTCCAAGGTTCCTACTGGTGGGATTCCACCCACCAACCCACATACCTTTAGATCAGTGGTTGAGCCCTTAACCATCGGTGCCACTCAGGGAACAACCTCGTGAAGTCTTCTACCCTCCCATTTAAAGGAGGTTTTAAAAAGATTATCCTCCCCTTTTCCAGCGGGGGGAAGTTGAGGCAGCAAGAAGTGGAACTGAGCATAACTCCAGGACATGCAGTGACAGTCGAACCCCCGCCCCCCACTCTTCCTTCTTGACCCATTTCCTTCACACCAAATATCACTGCAGGAAACCAAACCAAACCATCTCATGAGCCACAGGACTGTGCCTGACTGTGCCGCCAAACAAAACAAAGTCCCTGCGGAAGAACAGAGGACGAAGCACGTCCCCAGCACACTGAGTGGTGAGGGACAGGACACTTAGCTGAGACTTGGGTTTTAAGAAAGCCCCAGCCAAGAGGGAGTGTGTTGGGAGCGGATGGGAAAAATTTCAGAGAAGGTACCGCTAATGCCAGGGGTGGGGTGGGGGAGGGCTTTATACTCGCTCCCTGATTTAATTCATGTCTTCCAGGGGTCATCTTTGCTCCATTTTACAGATGAGGAAGCTGAGGCCCCCAAAAGCTGAGCGGGAGTGGGGGGTGGAGGGGGGTAGGTTATGAACCCCTTAGTTGGAATCCGCTGAACTCTGAAACTGTCCAGTCCCAGACTGAGCCACCCCCCTCCAGCTACACCGTGACCTTAACTCGGAACGTGCTAGTCCCTGCCGCCCCCCCC